ACCTTTATGTGAATCGGCTTGCTTTAATTTTATTTTAATTTAATTTATTTTTAGTTTTTTTCATCGCGCTGCTGATGAGGTCACGTACGCGCTTTCATCGGGCGCGCTTTATTCTACCGCGGTTTTGACGGGTCACGGTTGCCGTGAACAGAACTGAGCAGGAAATCAGGTTAGTGGGGTGGGGAGGGAATGGGGATTTTGCAGTATCCTTCCCCTGCCACATCCACAAAGCCACACCCACAAAGCCACACTCTGCCCACAAAACCATGCTACACCCATAAAGCCACGCCCACAGAACAGGTAGTAAAAAACAATTGAATCCTGCTTTGTTCCCTTGAGTTTTAAAACCACAAAGTTTTAAAAATTGAAAGCCTTAAGGTTGAAGCGGATGTTGAAAGTGCCATGTGTGTGCGCATTGTCAAATTGGTGATGACTCCTGGCAACTGCCTGGACAACTCCCTGCAGTTCTTTGGAAGATTTCAGACGTGGCTTACCATTACATGCTTCTTGAGGCTAAGAGAGAATGACTGGCCCAAAGTTACAGCATTGTGCATAAAGTTTCTAGCCTGGTGCCTGAACTACAACATCAAACTAGCTTTCTCAAAAGTGCATTTGTTATTACCTCTCCCTTGTTTTTCTTCATGCATTCTTTTTTTCCAGCAGGCTATAATCTACACATATTTATATAGAAACAAGATCCATGGAATTTAGTGGGAGTGCTTTCTAAGTATAATAGATACAGAGGCTGAGCCTGTAATTTCATTATAAGAATGTAAGATATAAATGTGCAAGATAGTTTCTTTTGTAATAACACAAGAGGAGGTTCCTATTCTCTTACTGGGTTTCTGCTTCCTGTTTGTCTCACTCCAGACATAGCAGCATGCAAATCAGCGTGTAAGGGAAGACTCAAACAACATAACTTTAACGGCCATCCATCAGGATGCAGGAACAATTGAAATAATTCCTACTGTGAGCTCAATTTGCTTCATAAAATAGGAAGGCTGGTAGCTGAAGAGTGAAACCAAAGTGACTTTCTTAGACAAGCACTATTTAAGGACAATCACAAGTCAGTCAACTGACTTTGTAAAATAAAGAGGAAAGAAAGCAGAACTGGCCTGCAGTTTTGCCTCCAAAGTGAGATACATCCCCAGTGAAACACACTTTGTTTAGAAACATAAGACTTCGCCTTATATTATTAGTATATTAATTATAACATCTACCTCTGCATGCAAAGCAAGGGTTATTCCATTAAGCTGCAATATTCTCAAAAAGGCACACAGGCGTCACACAGGATGCCCATGACAATTCATTCTCTGAAACAGGCAGGCCTTGTGCTGAATTCCATTAAACTTCTACACCCAATTCAAAGTGCTACTAGTCACCTACAAAGCCCGATATGGTGTAGCTTGGTAGCACCATAGCCTTGCCAAAAATGAATCTAGCCGTCTCATGAAAGGAATATCAGGAAGATCTATTAAGCGTCCCACTCTTTATTTTGAAGTCAGAAGAACATTTTCTGTGGCAGTGACCATACTTTGGAACTTCTAACCTACAGAGGTTCATAAAGCCCCGTCCATGATATCATTCAGAAGAGCACTAAAGATAAGTTTTATTTCACCAAGACTTCAACCCTAGTTAAACGTTGCTGATCTCTATATTAGGGGTAGGCTGATTTATAGTTGTTGCTGTCTTAAATTGACATGTTGGCTCGTCTTTTTAAGTTGGGCAGAATCTAAAAGCTATGAAATAAATAAAACTAAGATAATCTAATGAGTGAGATCATCTGTCACCATGGACTGAGGTATCACCAATATGCTAATGATGCTCAGTTGTCTTGGCCCATGGTGAATTAAGTGATGCCATGTCCTCCCTCTCGCAGAGCCTGGAGGCTGTTAGGGGCTGGATAGGGAGCAACGGGTTGAAATTAAGCCCTGGCAAGAGTCGCTCTGGGTTTGGGGTTCTTTGGCCCAGAGAGAATTGCCATCTTTGGTCTTGGATGGGGTGGCACTACCCCAAACAGACCCTGTGCGTAATCTGGAGGTTCTCCTGGACTCATGACTCCTGCTCAAAGAGCAGGTGGTAATCATGGCCAGGAGGGCCTTTGCGCAACTGTGAGTTGTGCACCAGTTATGCCCTTTCCTGGACCAACAATCCCTACTCACAGTCACTCATGCCCATGTCACTTCCCATCTTGACTATTACAACACCTCTACATGGGGCTGCCCTTGAAGAGCATCCAGAGGCTCCAGTTGGTGCAAAATGCAGTGGCCAAAATGGTTTTGTGCAGACCCCGGTATGCACATGTATCACCCCTCCTGCAGGAGCTGCATTGGTTGCTGATTTGCTTCTGGGTGCAATTCAAGGAGCTGGTTGTCACCTTTAAAGAGATCCGAGATCTGGGATCTCTTGCTGGTCACATCTACCCAACCCATCAAAGTGGGGAGGCAGGGAATGCTGTGTGTCCCATCCCCGAGGGAGATACACCTGATGGGACGCCACCTTCTCTGTGGTGGCTCTTTCTTGCTAGAACCTCATTTCCACCAGAGATTAGAATGCCCCCCCCCACCCCGAATACTCTTCCAGAAGTCGCTGAAGCCCTGATTCTGCCAGCAGGCCTGGGGAACCCAGAGTGGGATGGAGCCCATTAAATGGCTCATGTGATCTGCTGTCACCTGGGCAGGGAGGGGGGTGGGTGATTTTATTATACTATATTAATTTGATTCTTTTTATTAGTTTTATTGTTTAAAATGTGGTTTTATATTCTGTAAGCCGCCTTGAATAGGTGAATGGGTGAATAGGCAGCAATATAAATTTAATAAATAAGTAAATATTTTTTTAAAAAAATATCAGGTCTGCCAAGCACTAATCCATGTCAATCAAAGCTACCTATAGATTGAAATTCTACTAGTTAAAATGGCAAAATAATAATAGAAGATTTCTAGGAGAAGAAAGAGGAAGTGACCAAAAAATGTCACGTTTCCTTTATAGAGGAAACTAGTCTCTCCTTTATATGAATGACAAGTTGATTTTTAATTCCGTTTTGGTTTCCTTTCTTGACTGGTAAAATAAGGGACAAACATTTGATGATTATGGAGAAGAAATCTACTTTCAAAGTACTCAACTGGTCTAATTAAAAAGTATCTATTCATCATGATACCACTGAACCAAATGGAAAAGGAGAGAAATAACCTAACTCGGCTAACTCGGGGAAACATGCCTTCAGAAAGTTACCCAGTTTACAACAATTAAGATTGCTATTAGAGCCACCGTTGTACACCTACCGTATATTAAGAATATATGACATACTGAGCATCGCTTAACCAACCCAGGAGCAATTAGGGAAAGCATTAGACATATAAGAAAAGGGGACAAATCTAAATAAGGCGATTTTGAGAAGGCGCTTCAGCCAGAGGGAGAGCACAGAAGGCCAAGGAAAAATGGTACCTAGTTCATCCTAAAGTAAAACCTCATTCATGTTTGCCTCAATGCAGTAATTGAAAGCTCATATAAGGCTAATTAGCCTAATCCTATACTTACTCCAGGAGTAAAAATAATCCCATTGCATTCAGCAAATGGAACTTTCCCCCCCACAAATCAAGATGATGATAAATCCATAGTTAAAGCAAAGAAAAGAAAAAAGAAAAGGAGGCGCTTTGTCACTACTGCTGCCTGGCTCATCTCGAAGACCACCTGAAATACAACCTGCAGCAAAGACCTGTCTCGCGAGGGGGGAGGGGGGGTCGTGTCGGCTCCCAAGGGGAGGGGGGGCGTCCGCGGATCAAGCCCCGAATCAAGGCTTGGGCGAGGCTGGGAGCAGGTGACAAGAGTTGAAAGGGACCTTGGAGGTCATCTAGTCCAGCCCCCCTGCTCACGCAGGAGACCTGTACTAGAGATTCGACCCGCCGACTTTTCTGATCGACAAGCTCAGTGTCTTAGCCACTGAGCCACCTGGTTAGATCCCCGGTGGAAGCGAACGAAGCGGGGAGCGATCAAGGATCGACACAGACCCCCAAAGCCCGAGCAGCCTCTCCACGCGGGACGCACCCCCACCCCCACCCCACGCTTTGCACTACTTACCACTTCTCTCCCGCTCCCAGAGGTCTCTTCCTCCCGGGCTGGCCCGGCCCCTCTCCCTCTACCTGCCGCCGCTGGGCCTCCAGCCCGGGCAGCCCCCTCTCCGCCATCGCCACCCACACCTCCGCCGCTCCTCCGCCAGCCCGGAAACGAGAAAGGGAGACACCTTATTTCCCTCTCCCGGCTCCTTCTTCATGGCCACGCCCACCCGCTTCCGACCGGCCGGAGAGGTGTGGCAAATGGGACGGAAGAGAGCGGACCCAGAGCACCATGTTGAATGCGGCCTGCGGTGAAGGCGTCGCGACGACAGGCCGCGCTGTCCGCGCTGCCCTATTGGTGGGCTGGTGGCGCGGGAAATTGAACGAACGGGGGCGGGGCGGAATGGGGCGTGGCGCTTTGATTGGATGAGCCGCGTTTACGGCGGGCAGAAACAAGAGGCGACGAGATTATCTTTCTCTTAAAACAGGCATCCCCAAACTTGGCAACTCTTTAAGACTTGTGGACTTCAACTCCCAGAATTCTCCAGCCGGCATAGGATAAGTGGCTGGAGAATTCTGGGAGTTGAAGACCACAAGTCTTAAAGTTGCCAAGTTTGAACACCTGTTTTACGGCATTGTTTTAAAAAAAAAAATCATGGTAAAAAATGCGGGCGCCTATTCATGTATTGATCCTCTTCCGGCGCTGCTGACCGTCGTCCCGCTTCGGTGTCAGAATTCTTGCGACTGAAGTAACCATGACCAGGAAGATACCGTGCCGCGATGCTTGCAGTTGCCATTTTTACTATGGGCAAGTTTTAAAACGCCTACTCGGCTAACGCCGCTCTTCAAGTTGCCGGTCGAAATGAAATTTTGGCGCTGTGGTTTGAAGAACCGGGGAGAATACAGAGCCGAAATAGCAAACTGCCTATAATTTTTAAATTGCCTTTTGAGAGATACTAAAACTCTCCAGCGGTTTTTAAAGTTATATGCGCATTTGGTGCCACATTTTCTAACCAGAGGATCTCACTACTAGTTTATGCAGATTTGCATAACCTGAATACGAGCGTGGTATTTTGTGTTGAGACAGCTATTTTGACTTAAAATAAAAATAAAAGCATAATTTGTAGAATAGCGCCAGTTATTGAGAGTCCAGACTTAATACATTTTCGGAAGCCAATATTATAGAATGGGCAGAATGAGACTTCCTGAAGTGCAGCCATGTACCCAATTTTATTCAAAACAATTGTGGGCAAGGCAAATCAGGGCTTGGCACAATGCATTGTAATTTAAGTATGTGGAAAGTTAGCACCCACCCCCCTCCTAGTAAAATTAAATATTTTAGGAAATATTAAAAAGGCAGAATATTATATTTCTCCTAGAAGAGAAATAGAAATCTTAAGGGAAACAGAAATTCAACCACAGGTCCCTGCCCCCAAACAGATACTAAGATGAGGCCAGCTTTTAGAAAGGCAGATTTGGTCATCCATTCAAGATGGATTCAGGATATTTTAAACAAATGCAGAATTAAGTAGAATGGTAGGATATTTTAGTAGAATGGTCAGGATATTTTAAACAAATGCAGAATTAAGTAGAATGGTAGGATATTTTAGTAGAATGGTCAGGATATTTTAAACAAATGCAGAATTAAGTAGAATGGTAGGATATTTTAGTAGAATGGTCAGGATATTTTAAACA